TGTGGGGTGACAGTCCGTGCGAGAACAAGGCAGCTCCTCTATCTTCTTCCATCTTTGTCCGATATCGCCCTTTTTTCTCCTGCGTTTCCCTCCGTCCCCAGGCAGCCTCAGACCCCGCTGGAGCTGACCCCAGGGAGAGGCTCCTCTTGGGGGGCCATGGAGCCCCCTGCCCGCGCCTGCTCCTGCGGCTCCCCGGCCTCTGACAGTGAACCGGGGGCGGGCAGCTCTCCCCGGAGCCCCCCCAAACCCGAGCGCAGCCGCAAGCGCCCGGGGGGGCTGGACCGGGCACCCCCCGAATCGCCACCGTCGCCCCGCGGGGGGAAGCGGCCGCGGAAAGGGGAGGGGGGGGATGCCCCTCCCAGCGATGGCGATCGKCTCTTTGCCCAAAAGGTGAGTTTTTGGCAGAAAACTAAGAGGAACCTCTAAAGCTGGGAGATGGGGGAGGGCTGCCTCAGTTTCCCCACTGAAATGGGTGGGGATGAGCAGGAGCTGGTGAWGAGCGGGGTTTGAGAGGGTGAGGGGGATAAGGGCGGTGTGTGACACCCTCTCCCCGCTCTGGGTACAGCCCAGTCACCCCCTGCTCCCGTTTCTCAGTGCCGGGAGCTCCGCGGTTTCATCCGTCCCCTGGCAGAGCTGCTGGAGGGGCTGCGGCGGGGCCGCTACGACAGAGGTGGGTGCCCCCAGACCCCTCCCCGCCCCACACACCCCTCTCCCCTGTGCTGGGGAGGATTCACACCATTCCGGGGCTCCCCAGGGCTGAGCAGCTTCCAGCAGAGCGTGGCCATGGACCGGCTGCAGCGGATCATCGGGGTCCTGCAGAAGCCAGAAATGGGGTGAGTGTCCCCCGGGTGTCCCCAGGGCGGGCACAGGCCACCCCTGCGGGGCACAGAGGGTGACAGGAGCTCTCTCCCCGCAGTGCCCGCTACCTGGGGACGCTGCTGCAGGTGGAGGCCATGCTGCGCCTCTGGTTCCCCCACGTCGCCCCCAAACCGGCGCTGGACCCGGCCCCGTCCGCGGCTCCCCCGCGCCGCCGCCCCCCCGCCGGTCCCCCGGGAGCGCCCCGGTGCTGTCACCTGCCCGGGGACCTGTCCCTGGCCAGCCCCGCGGTGACATTACCGCCGGGAGAGACCCCCGAGTCGCCCCCCGCGCCCGATGTGTGACACCCCCCCCGGCTCGGGGGGGGGACTCGTCTGCATTCTCGGTTTTGCCTTTTTTGATTGTTTTTTTACCGGTGGTCAGTGAGACCCGCGGGCGGGCGGGACTGACCGGGGGTTCCTGAA